GTCCTGCACATCTAATTTATTTCACTGCAAAGGCACATAATGATGCAGATAAAAGTTATTGATCCGGCAGTGCTGGCAGCAGGCGCCGGGTGCATCTGTGCCCCTCGGTCCTGCCTGTCCCCGGTGCCACTGCGGAGCGCCGGGACACAGTGCCGGGAGGCGGCACGGGGTGCTGCGAGGGCACGCGGCCCCACTGAGCCCGCAGGAGAGGACGAGGAAAAACGATGGTGCCGAAGCAAAGGTTGAATTGACCAAAACACCCGGATCCGATCCTCTGAACTGCAAATCACGGGTGGGTTTCACGTGGAATTTCAGGTCGGGTTTGCGGGTGCGTTTGTGGGCACCGTCCTGGGGACCCCAGCTGGGGCGGGGGCTGTTCGGGGGGATTGGCTCATCCTGGGTTATTTTAAGGTCTTTTTTTCTTTTTTAAGGTCTTAAGAGGAAGCAACTCTGGGACAGGCTGGTTCTGGTTGCGTGTGGTCTCTGCCCGAGGGATGCTGGCTGGGTGCAGACGCGGTGCTGGGAGCCCGGCGGCATGGTGGCACGTGCCACTGCGACGTGGTTACGATCACCCTCCCTGTCCTGACCTGGACCTCGGGGGCAGCCAGGCACCGGTGCGCAGGACCTGGCACCGGGGATGCTTTTGTCAAAGCCCCGAGGGTCTGGGGGACACGTGTGTCCCCCCAACTGGGTCACCTCCCGCCCGCAGTCGGGGATGTGCCGGAGCCAGAGGAGGACGTGGAGAGGGATTTAGGCCACCCATCAGGATGCGCCATCCACCACGTGTCGGAGCTGTGGCTGAGGTGTCCCTGAGATGTCATTGGGACGCCGGGGCTGCAGCACGGCCACAGATTTACAGCCACCGCTTTTGGCTGAAGACGGATTAAGGAGGACGTGTAACTACTTTTGCTTCCTTAAGCGGGGAAGAGGCCGCTCCGCTCTTGCTCCGGTGATTGTGGGCAAGAGGTGGCCGCATCCAGCCGTAACCAGGAATCCCACTCACCCTTCTGCAAACCCTTTTCGGACCGGCGGTGGGGTCCAGCAGGGGAGAGGAGGGGGCTGCAGGGCACAGGGATGCAGCCGTGAGGATGAGGCGCTCGGGGAATAATTAATAGCAGAGTCTGTTCAATGGGTGCAGGTGCACCTGAGCGGTCTTGGAACTCCGGTCACTTTAATCTGTTCTTGGGAGAAAAAATTAGTTTTAACCAATGTTTCTGAGGTTAGTAGCTGTGAGGGTGTTCGGAGCAGCCAGAGGCGGCCCCCAGCCAGCGCCCCAGGGATCTGCGGCTGCGGATGTATTTTGGGTGGGCTTTGCAGGAGGATGGGACAGGCGATGGAGCGTGTTGCAACGTGCCCGTTTGCCTCTGCTCATTTAGTGAGAGGCCGGTCCCGACTGTCCCTTCTCCAGCGGTGGTGTTGGGAGACGTCTCGGAAATCCCTCCTGGCCGTGGCGATGCTGCTGAGGGTGGTCCGGGCATGGGGCTGTGGGCAGAGGGCTGTCCTGGGGGCTGCCCCACAGCTGCATCCAGCTCTCCTGCGCTGGTTCCTGAGCTCTCAGCAGTGCCGGTGCTCCTGACCGGCAGAGATGCCTTCTCCATCCTGCTCCGTGCAAGCCTGGATGGCCTCTTGCTGTGCTCACCACTGACTTACTGTAAGGAGAAAATAATCGGGGTGGAGGTAGTTAGTTTTTCTTGCAACGAGGCCCATCCATGCCATCCTTTCATCAGTGCCAACCTCTGGTGCTGGTGGCACTAAGGTCCTCTCCGGCAGTGCTGCGTGCCGAACCCGCGGCAGCTGCTCCTCACGGCTGAATTTGTTCCTTGCTGCCGTATCTCCCACTTCCCAAGCAAGGAAGCAGAGACGGGACTGGCTTCTCACCTGGAAGCACCAGCTCGTGAATCTCCACCAGCTTCTGTGGACGTGCGGTGATTTACAGCCGCAGGGCTCTGGGCTGTCGCGGCTAATCCATCAGCCGGCACGGTGCTGGCACTAACGGGGTGTCTTCTCCTGGTGCTGCTTTGGGACCTTGTGCTGCCTCTGGCCAAATCCCCGTGGCCGGGCGTGGGCTGTAGCTATTGCAGAGTCATTTGCTCTTCCTTAGTTATCTCTTGGTCCAAACAAAATGTGTTTATTATATCTTATAATTTCCCAATTCAATAGTTGGAGGGGAACATCTGCCTCTGACCTTGGCTGCACCTGCTGAGGCAAAGATCAAACTCACCAAAACACCCGGATCTGATCCTCTGGGAAAGAGCTGCAAATTACGGTCAGGTTTGGCGTGGAAATTCAGGTCGGGGTTTGCAGGTGCACTTGTGGTTCTGCCGCAGCACGGGGTGAGAAGGTGCTGCCCGTGACCCGACAGACAGCCCAGCACCGACGGCTTCACGCCGGAGCATCCTTTGGGGAGTGGGATGGGATGAGATCTGTCGAGCCAAGCGCTGAGCTCAAGCCACCCGCATCCTGCCTTAAACCTCTTGCCTTCAGTCGCCCCCGCTGCTGGGGAGCCGGGAAAGTCTGCGTTTGCCGTGTTACAGCAGGAGTCGCCGCTCGGCGGAGATGCTGCTGCCCATGGTCAGGGCAAAGCCTCGGAAATCCCCACGCAGAAGGTGGTTCCTCGGCAGTGACACAAAAATAAATCACTTGCTGTTATGTCCGGGAGAGACGTTGGCTGTGTGTCCATCGGGTGAACACCCGGCAATGCATTTTAGTACGTGGCTTCCACGCTGTGACCCTTTCTTGGGTCGCGAGTCCAGTGACAGCATTTTACCTTCGGTAGAAAACCTCAGAGCTATAGATCTCAACTCACCGGCCGCAGTTTGCCCAGCGATGAGTAACTTGCATCTGTTGGTCTGATCTGGATGACTTTCTCTGACCTTCTGCACGTTTCTCCTGGAAGAAGAATCGTACAAGTGCCCTCCCGGGAGGATGCTCAGGTTGAACTCGGGGTTTTTCACGAGGGCCCTTTTTGTCCAGGTTAACAGAGTCGAGCGTGAATACGAGTTAACTACCAGGGAGCTTTTCTCAGCCTGCTGCTTGCTCTGAGTGCGCATTCAAGAGTATCAAAGCCCTCGGAGGTTGTTTTTCCTTTAAGCAGCAGCAATAAAACTCCACAGCGCTAAAGATCAAAACAACTCGTTCTGGCATATCTCAAAACCCCTTCCCTGCAGATGAGATGCAGGTGTTGGCGAGATTATTCGGGCGGCGATACTCTGGGTTTAACCCTTCCCAGGGGCTGGGAGATTTGCAGAGGCTCCTCGAGGGCTGCGAGGAGCTGCTTGTCCTCCTTGGGCAAGTGGAGCATCTCAGCGGGCCGCTCTTGGCACGGTTTGCTGCCCGGCTTGTGCACGGGATGAGGGATTGTCTTGCTGTGTTTCTCCCCAAAGCAGGGCACGCTGCTTAGCGAGGGCAGCTGTAAATACACCATCTGCCTGTCCTGGGAGCTCCAACCCACCGGTTTTTGGCTCCTGAGTTAAAGCTTTGCGCTACCGGCCGAGCAACAACCCCGTCTCCGCGTCGCGTGAGAAACTCGGCTGCTGCTGCTTTAATTTTTCCAAGCAAATCATTACCCTCAAGGCAGCAGCCGGAGCAGCAATCGATATCCTGCAGGCTTTGCTGGGAAATAAAACAAGCTGGAAACCAGCCCTGCGTATGAGGTGGTTGCTGGTGGCTTTGGGCTGAGCGTGTCCCGCGGGGACGAGGGGATGCTGAGCTGATGCTCCCCAGGGACCCAAATCGCAGCCCGGGGACCCTCAGCCTCCCCCGGGGCTGCCTGTCCGGGCTGGGATTTGCCCCTGGGATTTGCCCCGGCAAATCGCTCCGTGCCGGGAAGACTCGACAGCCAAATCCCTTTGCAGTGGTGTCGTGCTCACGCTGTCGTTTGGATAGGACTTGATGACAGTATTGATTTCTAAGCTTGTTAAACAAGCTGCGCTTGCTGGAAAAGGTCCCCTCTTGCTTGGTCCCCGTGTGAGTATAGCGCGTGCTGGTTTAACCTCTTGCTTGCCATGGGGAGAACAGAGATTTTCGGGTCGTTCAGACTTGTCTTTTGCTGTGGATTCATATGGAAAAGGGAGCACGTACATCCCGGAGACGAGTCCCCGCAAAACCCGCTGTCCTACAGCCACGTCCCTGGTGCCAGCGCTGGGAAGGGATGTCCCACCCCGGGCACGGTGGGTCTGGTGGGGCAGGGGACGATGCTCCGTCCTGGAGCACCATCGGAAAGCCTCTGCGAGGCATCTTGAGGGGCTTAAATATCATTGTTTTCCTTTCTTGAAAGAGAGAACCTCCTGCCTGGGTTGAAACCTCGAAACGAGGGGCTGAGCGGCACTCCTTGGGTGTGGGAAACGGAGCATCCGAAAAATCAGAGGGAAGAGAAAGGATGACAAACGATCCCAAGAGAGTGCCCTGCCAGGGAGTCCTTGAAGGGGAAACAACCAGCGGTCATGGTCACCGCAACTTGAAAAAAAACCCCGAGTAATTATTTATGCCATCGGTCCGGGTCAGGGACAGCTGTGGTGTCTCCGGTGTCTCCGTGAGAAGTGCGGCGGTGACCCGGTGCTGCCATCTCCGCCACCCGAGAGGCCTTTCTGCGTCCCCGCTGCAGGTCTGTGCGCCGTTCCCCGGCCGGGGAGGGATGGGGGAGCCGCCGGCTGAGCTCCGCCTGCGTTTTTTTTGGGCGGAATGGGAAGATATTCTTGGAGTCGGGCTGAGGGGTGAGTGAACACCTGCGGGCTGCCAGGTTGGGCTTTTCTTTCCCGGTGTAAGATTTCCATTTGGAAGCTGCTGGGGAGGGAGATGAGCGGGGCGATGCTTCTCCGCTTGGAAGCGGAGCAGTCCACCTCTCCGCAGGAGAGCGTTTCCAGGTCTCTGTGCCTGGCTGGGAACGTGGCCGCCTGCCCGCACGTGGCTCGTTGCTGCGAGTTAATTATGGCGGATCGAACCAAAACCTCCCAAGCGGAGCTGGGGGCTGCTATCCGTCGCGTCCTTATATAAAGTCTGGCATGGAGCGGTTGTCCTTGGTCACCAACCGGGGCACGGAGGTGAGACCCGGCGCCACGGGGAGCCGGCGTTGGGGATGGCATCACCTCCAGGAGCGGGGCTGGGCATGGGGTCCCTGTTTGGGCTCCCTGACCCGCCTCAGCGGTGTCCCAGCGCGTGGGCGCATCTTGGGGTTGCTTATTTTGGGGACACAGCGTCGCCTCCCCCAGCCCACCCCGTTGCCCGGAGGAGCGCGTACGGGCCGTGGGAAATGGGAAGTGGAGAGACTCTATTTTAATACGCCGCTGTGGGTTGGTGACCTAGAAAAGCAGCTCGGAGAGCAAGAGTGTGAAGTCCAACCTCCCCCGCTGCAAGCGTGGCTGCCGTGCCGCCGCCGAGCACAGGGTGGCCTATATCAAGCGATGGAAGAGGCATCGTGGGGAGACGGGGGGGGGTGTTTGGTGGTCCCCCGGCCCCGGGGCTGCGGCTCAGGACCCTTCCGTGGGCACCCCGTGGCCCTGAGCATCGTTGCCCTGGGCTGCAGGGGGGATGGGAGATGGATAAACGAATAAAGCCCCTGGTTTCGGGAGGATGCGGCGTGGGCAGGGATGCAGCAGGTGGGATGCGGGCAGGTCTTTCGGAGCGCTGCGGGATGGAGCGGGTCCCTCCTGGCGCTGGAGGGTGTTACCAGCACTGACAACTGGTGTTACCCAATATATATTGGCAATGCTGTAGCGCAGCCGATGCTCCGCGTTCGTGGGTCGAAGGGGAGATACAGCTCCTTCCTCCCCTCTTTTAAACGTGCCCTCTCCAAAAAAAAAAAAAAAAAAAAAAATTTTAAGTTTACAGGAATGTGCTCTTTGCAGTCTCTAAAATGAAATGAAGCCTGGTTATTCTCAGCCAAAACCAGCAAGTTTCCGAAACGCTGTATTCAGCTGAGCGGAAGACATGCCGATTAATTAAATCAGTAAATAAGTTATACTAATCCCATTAACAAAAGAGGAGCTGGAGATTAAATCTTTTATGGCACTTACTGCAAAATTAATGCAGGCAGTCTTTTAGGAAATATATTCTTCCCCTCACCTCGCCAAGGATAATAGTGCAGTTATATAGGACAGAACGTTATCAGGAATGAAAAATGAATGTAAAACTAGCACATATCTTATTAAAAGAGTGTAATGAGCTGCCTACATGATTGAGCTGGCCCAGCTGAGCTCGGGGCTGCACAGCGGTGCCGGGACCGTGGGCTGAGCCCTCCGGCTGGGCTGGGGGTCCGCGTCCTGCCCGTGCCACCGCAGGGGCTGCGGGGAGGGGAGATGGGGGTGCTGGCAAGGGATTTGGGGTCCTCGTGGGATTCCCAGGGACTTGGTGGCTCTGGAGCGAGGCGGTAAGCGGGCTGCGGAGGGGAATTTGCTGCTGGAGCTGCCTGCGCCCGCAACGGGTGGGAGCGGGGTGGGATGCTGAAGTCCCCTCGCCGCAGATGCTTTCCTGCATCTCCGGCAGGGACAGTGCCAGGATGGGGCCGGCGAGGGCTGACATGCTGCGGAGAGGCACAGGGGGTGGTTAAAAATGTCCCGGCATCCTCACAAGTTGCCTTCCCACCTCTGTTTCTCCAGCCACTGCTTCTGGAGAAAAGAGAGTCCCATCGCCAGCTCTTGGAGCAGCTGGGTGTCCCCGTGACAAGGGGGAAAACTTGCTTGCTTGTCCTTTCCTTTTTAATTTTTTTTTTTTTTTTTTTAATTCTGGCACTTTAATCGAGGGGATTAATCGAGGATGTCTCCTCTGGCTTGTGCCTGGCTCATTATTTTCTGAGCTGGCAGGAGCTCGGGCTGGAGGGGGGACAGGGTGTTAATTAAATAACGTGGATTCGGCCACATCCCGCCCAGGTGCCAAGGGAGAGCCCAAGTGGGTTTTCTCCCGCTCCAGCCTAAATCCTGTCTTGGCATGTTGTCCTCCTGAAAAAGTACAAACTCTGATCCCCAAAGCACCAGGCGCAACCTCCCCGATTTCAGCTGCCGGGGCTCATCCCGCTCGGAGACCTCACACTGGTGCCCGTCACCTCCTTCTCCATCCTCCTCTCCCTCTTTTTCTCCTCCACCTCTTTCTCCAAAGCACAATTTAACGGAGAGGAGCGGCGCTGGCTGCGCCGGGCAGCTGGTTATGGATTTCGGGTGTCGGGAGGTGGGTCCTTTCCCCATCTCTCTTGCAAGTCAAATATTTAAGTCAGCGCCAAAGCAGTTGGGTTGAGCGCGGAGGAGAGCACGTGCGAAGGCGGTCAGCGGTGAGTTATGATGTGGGTGGCGCGTGTTTCTTGCTATCATATCCCGGGGAGCTCCTGGGGGCATCCGTCGGGATCTGTGGCCAGGCGGGCTTGGGAGAGGAGGGGGGAGCAGCTTGGCTTTTAGTGATTTACAGAAGCGGAAAATGCTCTCCTGGGTGCCCGAGCTGCCATCAATCATTTTAATTTAACTCATGCAACCATGCTCGGAGCTGCGGCTGCGAGGGGAGGGCTTGACGTGATCCTGGTTTATTTTTCCCTGTATTGGAGTCAGCGACAGCAGCTGTTATTCAGCCCTGAGCTTTCGTGTGCTCGAGCTCTGAGAGTTTATAGATTTCCACTGGAACGCTTTTAATCCTAATTAAAAACATTGCAGAAAAAAAAAACCCAAAACGTTTCATAAAGCTCATATTCCTTTTTCCAGAGGACTGCCCGACCTTGCAGACACCGGAGGGCTAACCCTGGCTTGGCGCTGCCTCACCGCTCCCCATCTCCTGTCCAGCACTTCAATTAGGTGCAACTAATTGGGCTGTAAACCAAGGGGAGAGGTTTCCTCCCGGAGCATCTGAGCAGTGGTGCCAGGGTGGCAATAGCTGAGTATGGCATGTGCTGTGCTTTCGATGCTTTAATTTGCCCATGCGGCCGTGTTTTCAGTGCCCTGACGTCAGGCTGTGCTTGTGCACCTACGCTGCCCTGGGGGAAAGTGTTCCATCCCCGACTCCATCCCCACTCCACCCTCGGCTCCATCCTCAGCTCCATCCCCAGCTCCATCCTCGCCTCCATCCCCACTCCATCCCCAGCTCCATCCTCGGCTCCTTCCCTGGCTCCATCCCCACTCCATTGCCAGCTCCATCCTCGGCTCCATCCGCACTCCATCACCGGCTCCATCCTGGCTC